GTGTGGTTTTGCTTTTTCTTGGATAGGAAATCCTGAGATAAAAGAATTATTTGAATTTCTTTATCCACTAATTAAATGATTTTTAAGATCTTGGTTAGGAATACCTTTAATTACCTAGCATATCCATCCAAAACTATGAAAAACGTTAGTGAGATAACCTTTATCCTGTTGAAGCTTATTTAATGATGCTATATAAGGTTCAAGAAGAACCTTTAATTATGTAAGTTTATTCCACCACTCATTGTTTGAAATATTAAGAAAAATATCTTCAGGAAAATCTTTAAAATTTTCATCAACACCCTCTTCAATTTTGGTAGCTAAATTTTTAAGAGCAGCACGAGTTTTAATAATACTAGCAAAACACAAATAATGACTATTCCATCATGTACAATTTGGAGATATGAAAGAAATATAGAATCCATATATTGCTGCTTGTTCTGAGCGAAGACACTCTAAAAAAAAAATTGATTTATGAAAAAAACAAACTAGACGAATAGCTTGCTCTGCAACAATTGTAAATAAATTTGAATGTTTAAAAATATCTCCAACACATAAATTCATCTGATGGGTGAAACAAGGTATAAATATAATATCTAAATGTGCTCGTCGTAAACATTTTCTAAATTAAATTAAATATATGAGTACTAATTTATGATTTACAAACTCATAATATATAAAACTTTATTACCTGGCAGCTTCATATTTAGAGCCACAATCTATTATAACAGCATTAACTTTAATTTCTTTATTTTTTAAATCATCAAGTATTTTTTCAGTTCGATATTGCACATTTAACCATTTTGTACATTCTCCTGATATGTTTTCTGCATTCTAAATAAGGATTTTACCTGTTGAGATAATTAAGATACTTCCAAAAATTGCTATTATATGCTAGTGTAACCCCAACTTTGTCTTGCTGTGCTAAATTTTTAATAGATTTTGTTATTTTATATGCTGACTCTGCTAAAATTCGACCACCAAGATCTTGTCGTGAAGGTAATTTAATTAGTGGATAAAGAAATTCAAATAATTCTTTTATCTCAGGATTTCCTATCCAAGAAAAAGCAAAACCACAC